TGACAGAAAGCTTCTGAAAATGACCTACGTGCGTTTCCCAATTTTTTCCAAAAAAAACTTGATAAGCTACCGCAAATATATAAACAGCATATGATCGACAATCAATATGAGTTGATACACTGAAATTCTCAATTCCGAAATATCAAACTTTACATACAATGCTCAATCAACAACAAGCTGATTTCGTTTTCTTGCTCTCCTGTAAAATTTACCAAACGTTCGTGAGGACACTTTGTGAGAAAGCGGACGACATGTACTATAAGAAGTCTGTAGTTTATCCTGGATGTATGTTTTTTAACCTGCATCCAGCCGGCACACGTGAGGTTACCTCATTGAATCGATTTAAAAAAAAAATAAAAAAACAGTTTATTGGAAGGCTGCATTTACAGTACTGATAAGTTTCTCGTTTATTTTAAAAACTAGTATACAAATTTTATCCTAGTGACTCTTTTTAAGTGTTTTTTTATGTTTGATCATGCAAGTACCAGTTTTTTTCTTATGACGCTTGATGGTTCCTTGAAAAAATAAATATTATTATTACTACATATTATTATTCGGATTATCTTATTCTGATCTATTCCAAACTGACCTCGTAAAGTCATATTTAGAAGTAAGGTTTAGTCCAACTGACATAATGCGTATGCAATTTCAGATATTATTATTTAGCTAGGTGCTTCTTGTTAACATTATTTACCTTGCAAAGAAAGCTATCCCTCAGTGAGGCATTGCGGTCAGTAATAGTGATTTCTCCAGTCAGTAGCAGAATAAATTTTCCCACCGTAAAGAAAAATGAATGCAGAAAGATATACAAACATTTTTTAGGCTTAATTCCCAGCATGGGTTTGTAAACGATAAGTCATTAAATACCGTTATCAGTGATAAGTACGTTTGTATTGTTTAGAAACAAAATGTGTATTATGTGTGTACACAGATCCCGGCTTGCTAGACCGTTTGACGACTACAAGTTATTCACCTCACATTCTTCTGTAGTGTAATTTTAGATATCACTGATGGAGCAGTCGTATACAAAAAGGTGATATTGTCGAAATAGCCTGGCAGGTTGCATGCCTGTAAATGATGCTCATAATATGTAGATACTTGCCATTTGTATTAGGTAGTTACATAGCTAATAAAATGCATTATGCTTTGAGCCATTCCATAATTTTATTTATTTATTTATTTATCAACGTAAATCTAATGTAAAGCTAAACGTACTTTGACTTAGATACTTAACACTTAAAACAATCACAATCCAGATCATTTCTAAATTGAAGCGAATTTAATTAAAATTTAAATATATGGGGAAATCAAATATTAAATATTACAGACAGGAATCTAATTGAATTTTGAATGCTGACTTCTAAAGAAATCCTACTTATTAGAATGCTGATTTGCTAACCTTGAAGATCTAGACAGGAAGGAATTACTAGCATAATTAGTACGGAATGATCTCACATGGAATGGTTGATTCAGTCTGACGAAAAAGCACATGGAGATTAATATTTTTCAAAAGTTCTGGAGCAAAACTGAGAGAGTGCAAAATGTTATAAAATAGTTGACAGGTCCCTCTGATTCCGTCTTACCTGAAGGGTTGAGATATTGAGAGAGCTTTCAATGACGGAATAGATAATATCTTCAACCATAACGTTTTGTTTGAATGAAATGAAACTTAAGAATTTATGTTGCACTCTCTCAATTGCCTGAACATGAACATTATAGTTGGGTGACCAAACACAAGAACAATACTCCAAATGGGGCCTCACCAAAGGACAAAACAACATTTTAAATGACTGAATATTATGAAAATCCTTAGCACATCGTTTTATATATCCCAACAGTTGAAGATATTTAGAAACAAACATATTTATATGGGTAATAAAGGATAATTTTGGGTCAAGAATTACCCTAGATCCGAAACTTGGGATACACTCTTTAGAGGACAACTTTTCATGGTATAAGTATGATCAATGGGGTGCCTGTTACGGCTGAAGACATGACATTTTTCCACATTAAGTTCCGTTATATTCATTTGACACCAGATACTTAATGAATTCAAATCATTTTGGATATTTAAACAATCATTATTATATTTGATTTTTAAGAATAATTTCAAATCATCTGCAAACATTAGAAAACCAACATACTTAAAACAGTATATAATATCATTCACGTATATATTGAAAAGAAGAGGACCCAGATGGGAACCTTGAGGTACTCCAGATGGCACATTAATCGCATTTGATTGAAAGCTTTGTATACGCACTATTTGTTTTCGGTCAGTGAGGTAAGACTTCAGCCATGATAAAAGATCCCCGCAAATTCCTAGACAATGTAACTTATTAATCAAGATCTCATGGTCGACCTTATCGAATGCTTTAGAAAAATCTGTATAAACTACGTGAACTGAATAACCTTCCTCCAGGGATTCCAAAACATAGTTTGTGAATATTAAAAGATTTAACTCCGTGGAGCGTTTTGAAAGAAATCCAAACTGTTGGCTTATAAAACTACTTTGCGAATTTGCGGATAAAAATTCACACACTAGGCTCTCAAATACTATTCCAATGCAACTCAGTTTACTGATAGGTCGGTAATTTTTGACTTGTGAAGGATCTCCAGATATCATTATTGGAGTAATGATGCTTGTTTTCCAACATTCCGGAAAAGTTCCACTTTTCAACGAAAGATTAAAAATATAAAATAGAGGTCTAGAAATCAGAAGCTACAATGTTTAATCAACAACGGAGGTACACCATCAGGTCCAGGTCCTTTATTAGCACCTAATTTGGACAGTTTTTCATATATGACTGAGATTGGAATTTCATAGTTAAACAAATTGATGACCCAATAAGAAAGGTTATTATTCTGAACATTTTAAGTTTTAGAGAAGTAATCTGGAAACAAATTGGTAACTTGTAAACCAGAAGAACTACCGACATTATTATAATGTACTTCTGAACGTACGTAATGATAATCCTTACGGCTATTAACAAATCTCCAAAAAATTTTCACGTTTTCTCTAAGAGAAGATTCAGTTATATTGACATAATCCAGATAACGCTGTTCTTTTAGATTTTTACACTGAGCTCTGAGAATAGAAAACTCATGATAATCATTTAGCAAGTGAGATTTGATGTACTTCTTGTGTAGTTTCTTTTTTCAATTATCATTTGTTTAAGTTTTGGAGAAAACCAAATGGGAAATTTCTTTGCAGAGTACTTCTTCAAAGGAACAAAAGTATCAATTGTTAAAGATATTACATCATAAAACATATTAAGCATATCACCAAGTGATTTATTCATAAGCAGTATGTCCCAATTAAAACTGGAGAGAAATGCTATCACTTCCTGCAAATTTGTGGATTTAAAATCTCTGTAAAAACAACTACTAGTAAGCCCAGAGTTATTAAGGCAAGCTTCACAATTTAGCTCAAAATACACTGGTAGAAGTGCTTCCTCAGCTGCATGTACCGTAGTTGTTTCGTCTTGCATAAAAGTCGGATCCAGTAAGTTGTTATTTTCATTTCTAATAAAATTCACTTGGTAAAGGTTATGATATGAACACAAGCAAGAAAGGACCTGTGTTGAGTCAGCTTCAGATGATGAAACTCTTGTCAGAGGAACTGCAATAGAGGCCATATTTTCCTTAGACCATTGACAATGTGGAAGATTAAAATCACCAAGACTACATAGCCTATAGTCAGGATACAACTCAGTTACATTCTCTAAATTCTCCGAAAATTCAACATATTTGTCTGGAGAACTATAAGGAGTAAAATATGCTGTAGCAAGGATAATTTTAGTCTGACCAATATGAATTTTTATGAACAATTGTTCAATGTTTTTAGTGGATAATTTTGAAGCAGAACGAATGTAACAAGTTAATACTTGAACACAGTTCTGTAGGAGGAAGAAGCGTGTTTCAACATGAAAGATACGCATTCGAATAAGATAATAAAAACTCGGTGACTTGGTTGCCTAGATGTAGGACCGATTCAGGGCCGTTTTAGCTATGTTTGAGCCCTTAGGCACAACAGAAAGTTGGGGGTTCCAGGCAGAGCGAAATCCGGAACTCTACTTTTTCCGTTGGTGATACTGAAGTGCGCGGGGGGGGGAGGGGGGGGGGGTATTCAGAATCAGAAATTTTTATTTCGAAATTTCGTTTGATTTTTTTTGACACTTGAGGGCCTCCCACCTCCCACGAGTGCCCATAATTGAACCTTCAAAATCTAGAAACAATCAATTCAGATACAAATGTCAGAAGAGGGTATAGGATGCATATAGAATATTTTGCCATGTTTTAACGTGTTGGGTAGACCCCCTACTCACCTGATATTTAATCCTGTAAATTTCTAACTGTAGTGAAGTTTAGTGTTAAAAACTTAAAGTAAAAACAAATGTTAATTTATATATTTATTAATTGAATTTAAATTAAAACTACTCAAAATAAAATTTTGTATCTGTTATGTAAAATATAGGTAACATTAAATAAACAGGTGTCTGACCAATAAGTGCCCGCATTGGGAATAAGTGCCCGCATTGAAAAAAAAATAAGAGGGATAAAATAAAAAAAAGTGAAAAATAATAAAAAAAAAGTTTTTTACTTAAAATAGTACAATAAGCGAGTTCGTTTATTAATTATAACATAAACGTATGTTCTACAATAATTTCACTGTTAGTTTGATTGAATTCCGCTTCTTATACGTTTAAGTTATCTAAAAATATGCAAAAAATTAACGAATTGTAGTGTGTACCTATCCTTGAATTTTCAGAATAATTAAAAAAAAATATTTTCTATAAAGGGGGGTTCTTTAAAAAAATCAATGCGGGCACTTATTCCCAATGCGGGCATTTATTGGTCAGACACCAATAAACATAAAATAAACTATAAATAAAATAACATAAGCAATAAGTCAATATTTTTAGTGAGAAGGATGAACCTGATGCTTTAATAACAAATTTGGCGTCAATTTTGTAACGGCTAATCTTAAATCTCCTCGGCTAATGATGTCCAGTCTGTTTCTTTTTTTCGTTAGGAGATTGGTAACAGCGCTGAACCCTCTTTCCACTAGGTATGACGATGGAAAGGAAATTTCTCGCTATATTCCATAATACGGGATAAGTAACGGGTATGTTGTTTTGCAGCCAGAATTGCTGATATCCGTTTTTAAACTGAATCTCAAGTTCTTCATTTGTACTTAGTTCAGTCAGTTCCTCTTGTATTATGACATTCGTTTCTTCTATGTCACCATATGGATTAATTATCCACGGTGGTATTACCATAGTCAAAATATCCTCAAACCTAGATTCAAAATCTGAATAGAGGGCATTTAAATGTTGAACGTAAGTTGAAACGTCGTCTTCCTGGCAGCTTGTCTGTGACAAATTCGGGAACTGAGAAAATTCGCCCCGTCCAATATTTTGCTTCATTAGTTTAACTCTGGCAAGAAACGCTGATAAGATGGACTTTGTTTTAATCAAATTTAAACTGTCGCCTTGTAATTGCAAATTAACCATATTAAATTTTGTACACAAATCTGTTAAATAGGCGATGTCTGTTTTCCTCTTCATTAAATTTTCTTTAATATCCAGAAATTCTAAAATAGTCACAAAAAGTGCAAAAAATCTTGTCAAACATAAGGCTTTCGACAACCAGCGTACTTCAGTGTGAAGGAGTAATTGATGAAAGTGTTCGTCATTTTCTTCACACAACTGCGCAAATAACCGCGTATTTAACGCGTTGCTTCGGATTCGGTTTATTGCATCAATGACTAAATGAAGTGGTTCATGCAATCTAACACTCAAATTTTTAGCAACTAAATGTTGTCGATGGATGACGCAATGTATTGCTAACACCCCTGACATATTTTGTTTTAAATAGCTTATAAAGCCACGATAACGTCCAACCATGGCAGGTGCACCATCTGTAGCTACTGATATTATATTTGATAAAGGAATTGCTTTTTCAATGAAGTAATCCTTCAAAACATGAAATATTGATTCACCTTTAGTGTCGGTTATTAAAGTTCTTGCGAAGAGCAGTTCTTCGTAGATTTCTTGATTCATAATAAAACGAACATATGCCAATAATAATGCTGCATTATCAGGTAAAGTTGACTCGTCCAGTTGTATAGAGAAATGGGTCGTTTGCAAATAATTTCATAAGAAGCTTTCAATATCAGAACTCATTTCATCAATACGTCTTCCAACAGTATTGTTGCTTAAGGGAATTCTTTTAATGATATCAGATGCAGGTTTGTGTAAAACAGTTTTTAAAACCTCTTCAACGGCTGGCAAAATTAACTTCTCTCCCATAGTATGCGGTTTTCCGGATTTTGCTATAAGTAACGAGATATTGTAAGACGCCTGCAAACCATCATCATTTCTTGTGACGTCGAAGCGAACATTCTGTCCAGTGTAGGTCTCTTCTGAAATTTATCTTTGAGTGTTTGAAAGTATTTCAAATCTTTCTCTGTTTTATCAGGGTGGCATCTTCTCAGATGATCTTGCAGTTTAGATGGTTTCATAGCCCAAAACTTTGTTGCATAAAAGGCACATAGGCGATTGTTTGTCCGGCAATGATGGAATGAAGCCAAATTTCAAATAATCAACACTGTACTGTCTACATTTATTTTTAGATTCGGACATGGCATCAGTCATTTGTGGGCAAAATTAAAATAAGACAGAAAATCCAGCAGCTGTATATTAAAAATATTTTTTGATTTTTCCGAAAACATTCCATAATTCGAACATCTTCTTGCAACAATTAGCTGGAATTACGGAGATTGCACTGTAATTATATTACCGATTGCTAAAACTGTCAAAAAGAAACTATTGAGGAGTACTCGTGTAATTTTGCATGATTGAATATTTAACTACTAATAAATAAAGTCATGATTGGCGTAATTTATCTGTCTTTGCTAACTACGAGTACAAAACTAAAATTTAATAAAAAATAATGTACTTACTTTTCTCCAGCACTCTCAAACAAAATAACACTGACTCACTATAATTTGTGTGATATACTATCTGTTTATATTTTTTAAAATATTTTCTTAGCACTTTCATGGACCCCCAAATTTTTGTTCGCTGACGTAGACCCCTTGCAGGTTGTCATAGACCCCTAGGGGTCGATATAGACTACTTTGGGAATCAATGCCCTAGATGGATACAAATTGACATCATTTTTTTTTATAAATATCATCATTGCACTTCAACCATGACAATTTTTGTGTGCGATGATAAGTTGTTGTGGCTCTAACATTGCCCTTGACAGACAAATTCGTTTTGCTATCTGACTTCCAATAAATTTCTTAGTACCTTAACATCGTACATCCCTTTAGTCTATACATAATATTATATGGCCTATAATTTGTAAGTTAGTAGACCATATAATGCGGATACAAAAGCATGTAATAAATATTAAAACAAATTATATAAGTACGACGAGAACATGTAACTGAATAAAAAGTTGCCAAAAAATAATGAATTTCATAAAATGAATGGCTTCCGATTACAACTGCAAACTCTTCCTCTATAAACTAAATAACAAAGCAGATTGCTCTAATTGCAAATAGATTAGTGATATAACTGTATAAGTAAAATATTTTCCGGTTGTATGTATCTAAGGACATATAGTCAACGCCAAACAAAGTGGCGTGCACGTCATCACGATAAAAATTCCCCGACCTAATGCCTAGGTTTCTATCACAAACAATTGCTCTATTGCAGTTTCATATTAATGTGATATATAAATTGTAAAATGGTCATTACTCTCTTATTATGGTTAATAGTCATATAAACATTGTTATTAAAATATCACATAAGTTGCTTTCTGATAAATTTAGACGCATTATGCGAAATAAAATGTTTTGCAAACGCTCCAATCACTTATCGACATGTAAACGCACTAAACCGATTTCGCAGCGTTGACACATTGTCACCTTGAAACTTATTTAAACTGGGAACTGACATTTGTATTAATTTTGACACTGAATCAATTTGTGGCATTTCAAATCTTTATAAATCCTTTGGCCCCGCATACTGTAAATCAACAACTGTTTGTTTCAAAACAAAATTATTCATTTTACGAGTAGATAAAGGCAATTTTGGTATATAAAGATGCCCAAACAGTTAAATAGTCGGTGTAAGGAACTCGTGGCCTCGTTAATGCACTACTTTGAGCAAGAAAGGGACAACAACGGGCCTTTGTTGCCTTTAAATGCTGTTCAAGAGGTAGGTTACTAATAATTATATGTAATGTATATTAATAATAGTGAAATTTTATTTCATTTTTTGTAGCGTGTTGCTGCTGCTTTAAAAATTAGTTTAAGGACAGTTAGTCGTATTTCCGAGGGTGTGAAAAGTGATGCAAATTTAGAATCGCCCAAGAAAAAGCGGAGTTATATTAAACGTGTAACCAACACAGCGACATTGGATACAAGTGCCATTCGAGAAGTGATCTATAATATGTATCACAAAAGTAAGATCTTATTATAATAACTTATTAGAAATTTGCATTAATTTGTTAACTAAATTATAATGTCATATTACACATGGTTTCAGAAGAACAAGTTACGATACAAACTTTATGGTGTCGATTAAGAGATAGGGCATTATTTGATGGTAGTGCCACGTCTTTAAGGCGGTTGCTTAGAGATCTTGGATTTAAGTGGCTTAAGGACAATCCGCGACGAGGGCTCATGGAACTACCAAGTATAGCTTTGAAAAGGGTGGAATTTCTAAGGCAATACAATCAAGCCAAGGTTGAGGCCTTATACCAGTTTGTCTTCCTCGATGAAACTTGGATATTTCAAAATGGGACCATAGGTCGCTCTTGGCAAAATGGAAACCAAAAAAGCGTGAAAGCTATTAAAACAGATGGTAAAAGGTATGTACTTTTACACAATTTGCACTATAAAATTTAAAACTAATATATTTTAGATATTTTCTTCGAAAACAAAATTGAGCGATTACCATGGAGAGATGAACCAGGACAATTTTTTGAAATGGTTTCAACATCAGTTATTAGAAAAATTGGAGTCCATCTATGATTATACTGGATAACGCCCCTTATCACAGCATGATATTGAACAAAGTGCCCAACAATGCATGGACAAAAAAAATATCCAAGACTGGTTGACAAATCAAAACATACCATTTTTAAACACAATGTTTAAAACAGAGCTATTGAGTATTGTTGCTCGGTACATAATGCTTCTTAATTATATATATTTTGGTCGACAGTTTATATTTCTTTTGTTTATTCCTATTCTTAAAATAACTGCTTTTTTAGAAACAAACCACCTAAAATATACGTGATTGATGAATTGGCGGAACAACATGGGCACAAAGTTCTTCGTCTGCCTCCTTACCATTGTATATTTAACCCTATTGAGTTAATTTGGGGCATAGCAAAAGGTTACTATAACAGACATATTGGTAGAGATGGTAACAGTGAAAAAGACTGTTTGGATATGTGGAACGAGGCTCTACAAACGGTTACCCCAGACATGTGGAAAAATAGTGTTCGACATACTGAGCAAGAAATTTTTAAATGGTATGAAAGAGAACGAATTTTTGATCGACCAGACATCGAACCTTTAATAATCAACTTTGAGAGTGATGAAGATTCAGATTCAGACAGCGCTGAAGAAAGAAACTCCGACTAACTTTATTGTACAGAAAAAGCTTACACCAGTAGCTTACCTAATTTTAGAATGCATTTTTTTGTATGAATTCTGTAAAATAAATACCATGCATAAAATTTGGAGGACCCCATTTGGATTTTTATTCAGTACCTTTAAGCTATCAATTAAATATGGTAGTTTCATAGTGTCATCTGATCAATAATTGTCATACTAAATGATTATGCAAGTACAGATCTATAATTTTATTATACTATTATTTTTGTTCTCATTTGAGGATAATATTGCTTATAAACCTAGATATGTAAATAATAAATTTTATTATTTTACAAAAAGTTTGGCAACAATGTAAATTTTTCAACACACCCACCTTGATGACGTGCACGCCACTTTGTTTGGCGTTGACTATACATGTTTATATCGCATTCAACAACTTCTACCAAAATGATTGATACAATGATGTATTCATGACTTCCATATATTCATAAAATCACGAAATTACTTATCAGTGGAACAGTATGGTTTCAGAATCTGAAGTGACATTGAATCCGCTGCAGCAGATATGAAAAGCAAAATGCAGAGTTAAATTGATGATAGTAAAACGTGTGGAATTCCATCATTAGATTCAACCATAGCATTTGGTACTGTCATCTAAATAAATTGTACGAAATATATAAGAGGAAATTCTATGAAATGGTTTAAGAATTAAGTTCAAGATAGGAATCAGTTTGTATGTTTAATGGTAATGAAAGTTCCTCTAGAAAAATCACTTGTGGAGTTCCA